AAAAAGTCAAATAAATCTTTATAGCACAAAAATTGTCTTATATTAACAGACATGGTTGGCATTTACTATTTATTTCTTACTCAAATTCATTTCCTGTTTTAAATCACATCCATATTGAAGCTGAGGCCTACATTGTTTCAGGAGGTATGGATGTTTTGAAGCACTGATTACGAAAAGATAATCTTTAGCACTTTGCAACAAACTCAAGGACCAAAAGAAAGGTACTCCTCATCTCGAAAGTCTAACTTTGAATACCAAAAACCAATATTTGGGCCAAAAGCAATAGATTTCTTTAAAAATTTTTATTAGTACACATTTGTGATATATAATAAATATATTAGTCATGGGGAGTTGGTACATGCACATATTGCACCTTAATCCTTTTTTACTTCTCCTCCTTTACCCTTCCTACTCTCTACCTCCATCCCTAGATCACCATACCATCTGCAAAAGTCTACCTCCTTGTTTCCCATAATGTCTTTTATTTTGCTTTTTATTTATACTTTGATTTTTTTCATATAAGAGAAACCATGCAGTATTTAACTTTCTGTGTCTGATTTATTTCACTTAGCATTATGTTCTCAAGGAGAATCTCTTTCCTAAAAATGACTCAAATATATCCTTCTTTATGCTAAGTAGTACTCCATTGTGTGTATATATATATCACATTTTCTTTATCCATTCATCTGCTGATGGGCATATAGGCTGCTTCCAATACTTAGCTATTATAAGTTGTGCTGCTATAAACATGGTTATTCATGTATCACTGTAATATGATGTCTTTAACTCTTTCGAGAAGACACAAGAATGGGAATAGCTGGGTTGAATGGAATTTCTAGTTTTAGGTTTTTGAAGATTCTCCATATTGATTTCCATAGTGGTTGTACTAGTTTACTTTCCTACCAACAATGCAGGAGAGTTCCTTTTCCCCATAGCCTCACCAGCACTGCATTATTATTTGATTTCTTGATAGCCATTCTTTCTTTGGTAACATGGAATAGCAGTGTTGGGGGGGGGGGGGTTTTTTTGGTACCGGGGATAGAACTCAGGTCCTTGCGCTTGCGCAGCAGGCGCCGGAACGACTGAGCTAAATCCCCGGCCCCAACAGTGTTGTTTTGATTTGCATTTCTCTAATGGCCAAAGATGCTGCACATTTTTACCATTTGTACTTCTTCTGAGAAGTGTCTATCCAATACAGTTTCCCATTTTTTGATTTGGGGGGGGTCTGATTCATTTTTTAGCTCTTTATAAATTCTAGATATTTGTCCTCTGTCCAAGGAGTAGCTGGTAAATTTTTCCCCATTCTGTAGATTGTCTCTTTACTCTGTTGATTGTATCCTTTTCTGTGCAGAAGCTTTTAAATTTGATATGATTCCATTTATTGATTTTTTAATTTTTTAAATTAATTAATTGGTACATTTTAGGTATACAATATAATGACATTCATCATTGTGAATTTGCACCTTTACATACTCTATCTTGGTTCTCATTTTTTTCCCCATTCCCCTGCCCTCCCTTCAATCCCTCCACCCCTCTCTATTTACAAAGACTTTGTTTCCATATTTTCATTGTCTCATATTAATTCCATTCCCTCCTTTCCTTTCCCCTACCCCTCCCACTTTCCCTTCCCCTTTCCATTTATTGATTCTTGATATCATTTCTTCTATAACTGGGGTTCTGTTTATAAAGTCTTTGCCTATGCTTATGTCATCAAGTTTCACCTATTTTATTTTCCAGCAGATTGAGTGTTTCTGTTTTAACATTTAGATCTTTGATCCATTTTTATTTTAGTTTAGTACATGGTGAGAGACATGAGTCCAATCTTCTGCATGTAGATAGCAGATTTTCCCTGCACCATTTATTAAATAGGCTATCTTTCCTCCAGTGTATTTTTGGCCCCTTTGTCAAAGATTAAGTAGCTGAAAGTGCCTAGGATTGTTTCTGCTTCCTCTATTGTATTCTATTGATCCACACATTTGTTTTTGTGCCAATACCATGCTGGGGTTTTTCACCATGCTGTTTTATCCCTGTAGCTTTGTAATATAATTTGAAATCTAGGATTGTGATGCCTCCTACTTTGCTCTTGTTACCCAGAATTGCTTTTGCTATTCTGCATCTCTCTTCTGGTTCCATATAAATTTTAAGATTTTCAAAAATGATAGATTTTGGCAGTATGCATGATGAAGGTAAAGCCATTGCATTTGATTAATCTATGAACTCACATTGGGCAAATAAATGAATGAGGAGTCCAGAGAGCAGTGAGAATACTGAAAGGTAATTTTACCCAGAAGACATTTGCTAAACTGGATGAACTTGAATATCAGACCATTCATGTCCTCAAGAAAAGATGACAAAGCCTATATCTTCCCAGGCAGAAAGGTCTAGGATGAGCCCCCGCAAACCTTCACCCACTGCATTAAGCTGATCTCCAAAGCACTTTAATGTAAGGATCAATTAGAGATAGCCCCACCCCAGTCCTTTTGGGATACATTAAAGAAAAATATAATGTCTCGAACCTCAATGGTGAGAGGGAGGAGAAAAGTGTCCAACATGAGAATCTGTGACCATGAATCATCCCTCTTGGGGGTTTGTAAACAAATTTCAAAAATGTGTAAGCCAATAGTTTATAGTAGTTCCAAAGTTCTAGTATATCCAAGAGATCTAACAGGTGCAAATAAGCTTTCTTTATGGAGGATTCATCTTTACCCTGGGACTCAAAAAATTTCCCCAGATCAAGTTTCAAGAAAAATGAAAAATTCGTAGTTAAACAAAACAAAACACACAAGAACATAAGGCACCATGTGAGAAAGCCAAAAATAAAGCCAGCAGCAAAAATTAAACTCATATAAAACTTCCAAAGTTAGAATCATTATATAAATTTGATTAATATATTTTAAAGATAAAGAAATAATATGTGACAATATGAGAAAATGAGAATATGATAATATGAGAAAAGATAAATAGATTTGACATTGGTACAAGTCTCTACAGAAAGGCAATTTACCTTGTCCCCTTCTATAGTTAAAACTACAAAGGATAGGACTGGGCATTTAGCTCAGTGGCATCATGCCTGCCTCACAAGCACAAGGTCCTGAGTTCAATCCCTGGTACTGAAAAAAAAACCTACAAAGGGGCCGGGTATTTAGCTCAGTAGTTTCACCACCTGCTGCGCAAGTGCAAGGACCTGAGTTCGATCCCCAGTACCAAAAAAAAAAAAAAAATTCTAGAGTCAGTATTTGGGACTTTCAACACATGAATCTTTGGTCTTTGTTTTGTGTGGTGGTACAGGTCTTTAATCCTAGCACTTGAGAGGCTGAGCCA